AATAGTATCAGTAGTTTACAAAAGAACTTTCTAGTATTACTATTGAGCAAAAGGAGAAAACATTTGTACTTATGCCATATTCTGTTTCACTGATTTCCTAAATTTTTTGTTGAATGGGTTTTGGATAATTAGATAACCATAGTTTTCATAGTGTTAAGCATAGTTTACTATGTGATTTAATTCATGCCATTAACCTGTGATATAAGCTTGAAAAAGTCCTTTTCTCTTAATGAACAGAAAAACAGTCTTTTTTTTTCTGACCAACACAGACATGAAACCCAAGTCAACCTAAATTAGTCCTCACAGCACTGATATTTCTTCCATGCTCAACTGTCCTTCCCTTAATGAAAGAAACTCTTCCCCAACAAGAGGAATGCAGGCTCCCTGCAGGATGTTAAAGTAGGTTGTCTCCTCTAACTATATGGTATGAAACTAGGAGTGATCAATTAATGAGTTTTCAAATTAAAAAAAAAAAAAAGTTGCTGAGTAGGCCTCAGTATTTCCCCCCAACTGCAGTTGGGAAGTGGCTGAGGTAGGAGAGAAAGAAGAGGCATGGAGGGGGCTAGATTCCCTTCCCTACTGGGAAACTGATACTCAGAAAATGTGATGAAGCCCTATATTTTGGTGAGTATGGTCTTCCCTGCGCCTTGAAGCAGGCAGAGGTCTCAAGGAAAGAATAACATGTAATTATGCAAATCAGATTATTATTGGTAATGGTAGAGGTATACAAATGTCTAAATAAATTAGACCATGTTATACCAAATGGCAGTATTTTACACATTGAGACCCACAGCTGCCTCATGATGATGGGGTCCAAAGGCATAAAGTTGCAGTCCTCAACACATGTACAGTTCAGCTCACCCTTCCACTCCCTCCCCTCCAAATATGTATCTGCTGGCAATTCATTGGCCTTGGCCAAATCAAGCACAATGCAGGGGGGAAGGAGGGGAGAGAACAACGGTGGTGGAGCTGTTCTTGTTTGTTGGATAGCAGACTTTTTAACAAGGAAATGATTGTGCGTACCTGGTAGGCCCTGTTCTGCCAGCCAGCAAAAGGCCATTGAGCTGTCATGGTTTGTCTTCACCAAATAAGATTTGAAATGAGATACCAGAGGAGTAGAGTGCTCCATGTACAGGCAGACATTAGGTGAGCTTTTGTCATCAGCTGCCGTTGAATGGGCACCATATCAAAGTTGTTCAACCCTGGAGACCAGGGGAGAAATGCTGGAAATTCTTTGCCTACTTTAAACAGTATGAAACAAGAAATTGGAAAATTAGAAAATGGACTAAAGGAAAAAAGCTTCAGAAACCCTACAGATCACCTATTTTGAAATCAGACAGTTACAGATAGTGGAAGTCAACTTCAGAAGAAGAGAAAGTCTCTAGAGAAATGACACTGCAATCCAATCATTGTTTAAAATACACATTTTCTGTCCTTTGCATAGTGCATGACAAAAGGGATTCTGAAAAACTGAAGCCAAAGAGATTTAGAATAAAATAAGCTCACTCTGAATTAAGGGATGAACTTTCATTATTCAATACAAATTTGAAAAGACAAAGAAACTTATCAGGCTAAATTAAATGAGGAGCTCACAGCATTGTAGATGACTCATCGCAATTCAAGAAATTTATAACAGTGTAGAGGAAAACATAGAGAGCAGATGGTGCAAAGAATCCTCAGTACAAAACAGAGATCAGCGCTGAGCTCAAGAGCCAGAAGCCATCCTTCAGCCTAGTACCAATGGCAAGAAAATGCTGCCATTAAAGTGATTAAAAGCCATGCTGCGCTTCTAAGCATTTTTTTTTCAAATGGTTTCATTGGGTAACCAAATTAGAGCTCTCCTGCAGCTACTGGATTTGAAACAACTAATTAAAAGAACTTCCCATTGATTCATCATAGGAACATTAGCGCAGTCTTTATAAATGTGCAAACAGGATTTACCTATTTTACAATTTTCCAGTTAAAAGAGCTTTAACAATAAATGGATAGGATCTTTAGGGTCTAAATAACTTCTGCTCTAGTGAGCAACTGTTACAAGAAGCTGAAATTTCTCCGTAGAAAGTATTGCTTTTAGTAGCACAGAAGTATTGCTTTTAGTAGCACTTCACAACACCTAAAGAAATAGAAACCGAGTAGCTGCAGCTTTTAATTACTTGGGTTTATTTGTCTCTTTCTTTGTACAGTAAATTTCTGACTGGAATCTTTTCCCGAAAAGTCATTATTTCCTCTGAGAGGTGAGTTGATAATCTCTGTATGACAAATAGTAGGATCATCCTCCTGAACCTGTAAGAACTGGTTAATGGTGACTCTTTCATGACTTTTTGTTAAAAAGTATGCTTTTTTTCCCCCCAGTACCCTAATACAAACACAAATACACTTCTCATATTCACAGCCTTATGTACACACCTCTGCATTTTCATTTAGAAGATAGAGTGCTGGCACAGTGCTACAGGTGTGATGTAAGCCTTGCTGTACGGGCTTTTCCGTTTCAAGTACAGGTCAAGCACAGCTGACTTAGGAGAGGGCTGAAGTAATTTTCTTCCATTATTTTGCTACCCAATTGTTTCCCAGGGAGAAGATGTAGGCAACTTCTCATACTGAACATTAGAGATGATCTTCTGTTGTCAGGACTGTGTTTTGACATGGGCTTACTCAAATGGAAGAGTTACTGTGGTGAGCTCAGGCTGAAAACACGCATAAATTACTGTATAAATTTTGAAATCAGAACCCAAAGAAAAATGCACCACATATGGTACATATGAAAAGTTTATAAAGGTTTGGTCGTAATTTGAAGACGTATAATAGTAGTAGTCTTTATTTAAAAAGCCTAGAAGGGCCAAGATTATAATTATACCCACAGTTTAACCTGGTGTTTTCTGTAATCAAGCTCAATCATTTTGCAAGGATTTGGTTGTCCGAGCAGTGAACCCTCAAATGCAGTGAGATGAAGCCATGATGTGCTGGGGAGGGTGGCCCAGCCAATGTCCCTCAGCTGTGAGCAGGTACACAGGGTGTATCAGACGTATCTGAAAGGTTGCTATAGCTCCCTCAGACCTGCCTGTAGATTAACAGCTTGATACCAGTGAATGACTCAAAACCAGCACATGGTAAACAAATGTATGTGAGTAATTGCCCTCATAAGCCCGCGGTCAGAGTTTAGCAAATACAGATCCATGTTTGCTAGTTCTTGTTTTCCTTTAAACAGACCTATCTGTGTTCCCTACTTGGAGTAACTGATTTTACGCCAGAGAAATATTGCAAGAATTCAGTTCCCCTCTTAATTACAAGAGTAAAAATTAATTTTAACTGAGGGAGTGGTTAAACATATCCAGGGATAACATGTTGGCCCTGAACCGATGAACGCTTCTTACTTATTTGTTCTATTCAGTTACTTACATTACGCTGTTTAAGGACTTCCCAAAAAATAGGTTAATCCTTTATGCAGCTTGACAAGTATTCTTTATTTCTCTCATCCCCTTGCATCAGACTCGTGGTTAAAATGGCATACGTACAGGTGTAGGACAATTTCCTGTGTAAGCTCTGTTTTGTCCACTTAATGCTTTTTGGTAGGGCTTTTTCATTTAGTGTTACATGTTGGGTTGGGCTTTTTTTCAGATCAGAGACGACTGGACTATTATACCACAGAATAGTTATCCACAGGGAAGATTGACAGTGGGTGGAAGTTTATTTTCTCTCTCGGATAAATGCACTGTCACAGAGAAAGAGATTGTTATGTGCATGTCTGTGTGTAGAGTTTCCCTTGTTTCAAAGCAAAATAACCGGGTTTGTTTTCTTTACTGTTTGTTTGCATTCTAGAATTTATCTATTGTTTTCATTTCTTAAAATTCCTGAAATATTTACAGGAAAGAAAACTAAGGCATGAACTTTTGTAACTAGAAGCAGATTCTTATTTCGTTTTCCTAGGGAGACTCTCTCATTCAAAAGATAAAAACAGAAGTCATAAAAATGTGTTATTTTTAGGAGACAGCTCCTTGGAAGCTCAGAAGAGGTTAAATCAGTTTTATCATAGAGAGGAATGGGGGAGGATGTGTAATAAACTGATATTTGGTAGCGGAAAGACAAATAACGAAAGCTGTGAACCACTAGAAGAACTTTTTTATATGGTAGCTGGTTTGTTCAGCTTACTCAGTTGTCTTCAAGACTGTGGAACAGTATGACCGGTTTGGTTGTAACATTTGGGAAAGCTGCACATCGATACTATTAAAACAGCATTAGTGTCTGGAGAATATTAGACCTTCTTTCACATGCTTGACCAGGTTAATAAAATAAGCAAAGCGCATCCACCCCAGTTGGGCCCCTTCCAAAAGCTGCTGGAAGCAGTTCCTGCTCACTGCGCTGCTGCAGACCTGCAGTGTCACTTACAGCAGGTAGGTCTGGGGGCACCTTTGCCCCCACAGTTTGCCCATAACCCAGTGCCTGCCACTGGCCTTTAATAAGCTGGCTCTTCCGCGCACACAGCTACCTCGCTGACAGGCTAAAATGCCCTTGCTGCTGCCAGCCCAGCTAGCAGAAACAGGATTAATTGCATCTGGTTTAAGCTGTGTCACTTTATTTACCCCAAATAGTAAACTGAATGTATGTTTTACACAGCTGAATTATGACATTAAATGCAGATTATCCTGAATGTAGAATTTACTGTCTCTGAAACACGGTTCTGCTCTGGACGCGATGACCTCGGAGACAGCAGCACAACCTGGTTGCATGCAGCCGGCAGCAGGGACCAGCATGGGTGCTTTTTTCTGTGTTTTTGTATATAGCCATTTTTCAGAAGCTGGTCTGCACTTTAGCAAAGGAGTTACTGGTATGTACTTGCGACATTAATTCCAGGTTATATGGTTTCCCTGAGAATTGCCATCTGTCATGCTTTTCTGCCTGGAGGTCACTCAAAAGTTACCTCGGGTTGGTATCCTAAGACAGTAGGTTGAAAGGATAAACCGTGTGCTTTGTCTTTAACCCTTAGTTATCCTTTTCCCTTTCAGCACCCTCCTTGATAGGTATGGTAAGGAAGGACTGGGCTTCCCAAAACAGCATTGCCCTCTCCTGGCAAGAGCCGGACTTTCCCCATGGAGCCATTCTGGACTACGAGATCAAGTACTATGAGAAAGTAGGTCTCACTTACAGCATCACCCAAACGCAGATCCTAAAGAGCAATATGTTTTGTATTTTTAATATTAAAAAAAAATACTTAAAACTTTTCACTTGATCCCACATACAATGCTACATAAGTAGACGTTTTATTTTGTACTGATTTTCTGTTGTTTTATTTCTGACTTGTTGATGACTGTCTTGTTTCACATCAAAGACAAGTAAAGCAGCAGGCAGGCAGTAGATATACCTGTCTCATAGTAACTACATTTATGAACATGGATAAATGGATCACATGCTTGAACATATTTTGATTTATGGGCTGTAAAAGCTTTACATTAGGGTGACACTGAAACAATACAATTAAGGTGGATGTCAATGTGATTTCATTTTGCAACATTATTTAGCAATAATCTGTGTTTAAATGGGAGTGCACCAGCCTTGTTTAGAGGGTTACAAAAGGTTACAAGGGAGAGAAACTGCATGGCATTCATGTCAAATTTCTGGCATTCTGTCAAAATTATGTGATTTCACACAAAAGTGGGCAACAACATGCGTTACAAGTAAATGTACAAGGTGCATGCACAGCACGTCCTGTGAAAGCATAATTTGAAGCCAGCTTCTCCCAAAGCACAAAACACGTTTCATCATTTCCAGTTGGCTACAGGGCCTTGTACTTGTGGTGTAAAATGTAGTGCTCATCAGTGCCTTCATTCCTAGAGACAGAGGCAGGATTTTTTTGGTGTCATAACTTAAACAGTCACCTGCTAAGTCAGTTCTTGCTATTGCTCTCTCCCCATCTGAAAGTTATAATGGACCTTATGGATATGTGAGAAGACCGCAAAAACCAGAAATATAAGCCAAGTCATGAAAGAAAGATTTAGGGATGTTAGGCTCTCTAAATATCTGAGAATGTTTCTCCTTGGCTGCACTTCTCTACTGAGATTATGCGGTTTTAATGATGCAGAAAAAAAAGGTTAAACTGGGAAAAAATCCAAACAACTTAAATAGCACTGCTAGAGAGAGAGGCCAGATTCCTTAGAATATTTGGTAGCCAAAGCAAGGAAACCTTACTTTCCTACACTAATGGAAGTCCTTCAGGTTATGATCCAGTACCATAGTAAGCCACATTATGACTTGCACTGCCCTTCTTTTCTTTGTTGATATTGAAATAATAATCAGGAGAATTAAACAAGAGAAATGGTAAGATTTTATTCATTTGAATAGGAACAATTTAAAATATTCAAAAAAATCCATAGAGATATTAAATTGTAAAGCTTATATTTATAAAAAACTTCTATCAAAAAATTATCTGCCAATATCTGTCAATACTGAGTGACATGGCAAATAGCTTTCTGTAGAGGTCTACATATTGCTTAGACTGGTCTGTTGTGCAGCAAGAGTAGATACTCAGGCTTCACAGCCCTTTGTTCTATAGAGAGCCTAACCCACTCCTGGCTATTTCTACCAAAAAAGAACCATTTTCTGTTTTCACCGTTTATAATACATAAGGAGTATCCTTTAACTAGAAACTTCTCTTCCCTCTCAGGTGTGGAGAGATAACTGAACTGCTGGCATCTTCTAGTACTGTTGCACAGGGGTTATTTTCTCCCTAAGTCACTAACTGAACGAAATGCGTAGCTCTTGAATATACCTTTTGTAAGTTAGCACAGGCATGCTCTCTGGCAATGCAATGTAGCAGGCAGAATGAAAGACAAACAAGCCAGCAATAGCAGTAAGATCACTTATTTGAATAGAGGGATAGGTATGTGACAGATTGGAGACCAGACTCTAGAGCAGACAGAAGAATAATCTAGCACTGGAAGTCAGTCTGCTGATTTGAAGGATTAAGTTAGAAAATTGTATTTATATAGTGCTGAAGAAATGTACTTTATAACTTTAATACTGCATATGTATAGTGGCCAAATGCAAATGAGATTTGTATATTAAAAAAAAAAAAAAGAGGGTGTCAGGGGTAGATACAGCAAGTGAAACTGCAGTCTTTCAGGTTTCTAAGTAACCCTCAAAGAGGGAAATATCAGTATTTATATTCTCAACAGCAGTGTTGCATACCCAGAAGAAATGTGCTAAAAGTGAAATAATTGTCTATTGATTTAGTATGAATTTACCACAAAGGCATCCCTATACTGGAAAGTAAAAGATTCAGCTAAAGTTCAAGAATGAGTTGAGTATGAAAACCTCAGAAATATTATTAATGTCTTAAGTAGTCAATAAAAATGCAAAGAACAGTATCCTTAGGTACTAATAAATACATTAATTAGTGAAATAGAACAGCTTTTGCAGTCCTATCCTTACCCTTTTTTACCTGTCATTTGTGTTTAAAAAAGAAAAGCAGCTTTGTTCTTATATGCAATACAAGAAATTGAATGTTTCCATCGAATACAAACACTAAATACCCCAGCTTCAACAGAGTGTATTGGTTTCTTAACTTTGTGAAATTCTCAAGAACTCTGCACGATTTTAAAATTTCACACATATGAACTGTTATTTCTTGTGAGATAATTTGTTGACATTTGCAAAATTATCAAGGTGACATTGAGGTGCATGCTACGGGAGCATGCTTGTTTTTAATTATAACCAGTAGGAATTACATGGCTCATATACAGATATCACATCGTCATGTGCTCCCAACATTTCATGAAAGATATGTTTGGCTTTTTATCTGTTTCTAAAAATGAAAATCTTGAGAAAATAACAAAGCTTCTTTTGTGAGCCAATTCTATATTGTATTGTACAGATTTTTAGTGTCTTACTTAGGAATACACTGGTACATATTTATGTGGTTGGTTGACAAGAGGTCATTTCGTTTGCAGCTTTTCAGCCACAAATGCAGTGAACGTAAGCTGACCTAGGACATAATTAGAGAGCTGACTTGGCCTGTGAGGAGAACAAAAATTCCTAGACATTCAGAGGTTTTGTCATAGTAAAGAGAAAAAGTTTTCCATTGCTTGAATAGTTATGTGATATAACCAGAGAGAGAATATCATGATCCTGAAATAATACTGTATGTTGAGGCCTGGTAGCTGAAATATCTCATTTCTACTAGGTTATGAATCATTCTGAAAACTATACAGTCAGCAACATTTGTCACCTTAGACGATAAGTGAGTCTTTACAGCAACACACAAAAAATCCATTAAACGTTTGACCGTAGAGATCTAAGATGTGTTCTGAAAATAATTTCTTCATAGACCTTCTTTGTAGTCTTCCTAGATACTAAATATTTGCAAATTATCTCTGTTGATACAGGATGTCTGCCCTATTCTGCAATCTGTTATCTATCCATTCTATTTTATAATCTTTTAATAGCTTCCACAAACAGCCCAATACTTTTAAAACAAAACAAAAAAAAATCTCATAGGCAGTATTGTTTTTCCCTTTAAAAATCAAACTTCAGATATCAATATAATCTCGATGTCTTTGCTAATAGTAATCAACTTTTCTTTTATACTTTAAAACTATTACTCAGACACTGACCAAAGCTTTTGCTTTTTGAAAGATTCCAGGGCATTGTAATCTATTTACCTCTCACCAAAAAGGTCGCATGTTCAAGTCAAATGGAGGAGTGGGATAAGATATGGCCCTGTTACAGCCTTGTAATGAAGCTGAGTCCTTCTGGTAGGAATTCCCTTATGGGAAAGGAAACACAGTACACAGTGGATATAAACCATACCAGCTGCAGTTCAGGTTGTGCAGTTGAACTGGAAAATGCTTATTCCTCCCCTTTTCCACCCATACCCTTAAAGTTAATCATCAAAAATGAATGCTCCCTGAGAGCTGTATTAAGCATACCAAGCTGTATACATACCAGCAACTGTATTAAGTTTAAGTTCTCCCATATGGCCCAAATACACCAGCTGGATTATATTTTCTGTTACACACAAGATAATATATAATTAGCTGAGGGATCCAGTCTATACAGAAGAGATTTTAATAGGATGTACCCAAGCAATACCCCAAGGCTTTGCAATGACATCTCCAAATAGAGAATACCTCTTGGAGATGGGTGTAGGATGGACGGGCTGGATGATGTTTCTTTGCTTTCTTGTCTTTTGATGAAATTTACACTAAAGCCAAATCCCTTTGACAAAATACTTCATTTTTTTGGCAGACTCAATTTGCAACTCACAGGCAGTTTTCACATAAAAATTTTAACCCACCTCCATATGACAGTGAGTGAACAGGATTTGTAGGATGTCAGATATGCCTTTTCTTCCATTCCAGTATTAGAGTTGAATTAATAAATAAAAGATAGAAAATAACTGAGCAGTAGAGGCAAGGGGGAAATTAGTTTTCCAATGAGATTTTAAAAAGAGATGAAGAGCTGATGAAGCAGAGGGGTGGAGGAAAGTACCAGATTTAAAGAATTAGAAAGCAGTATGACCTTGTTAATTTTTCTATCAGTCTGCAGCTGTATTTGCTTAACTTATACGACAAATGATGCTCCTTCTTAAAATCTAATATTAAAACAAACACCACTATTTCCTTGAATATTCATTAATATGAATTAAAATGAACCATCCTGAATTTGAGTAGTAAATACACAAGAGGCCTTGAGATAAATGACTTGATAGAAATAATGTGAAGATTTAAGACTGTCAATGTGTAATGTTTTGAATGATAGAATTATTTTTACAAAAAACTAATATGGAAAATTATAAAGAAGAAAGTAATTTTGCCTTTCGAATTGTCTACCTACAATAGTATTCTGTAGTTTAAAGCAAATCAATCTATTTAGAAATATGTGCACCATATTTATTTCAAAGCCATAGAAGTGTATATGTATGATAGATTACATACTCTACACTGCAACAGCAAAAAGATGTGGCACTTGGTGCATGTACAGGAGTATGAACTGGTATCCTTGCCGGTTTTTCCACACTTTTTGAGGAACAGGTAATCTTGTGATATGCTCAGTACCACACTGAAGGCTAGCAGAGTAGTAGCACAGTCCTGGAAGCCCTGGAAGCCCAAGCTCACTTTCACGCGTGTGCCCAAG